CGGGGGGGGGGGGTACTAAAAAACAAAATATGTGCCTGGATTATGTAGATTATGTATGTAAAAACAGCAGAGAACTCAGGCTCAGCTCAGCACTGACTTTGTTCAACTTCAACAAATCCTAGTTGTATGATTACAAAGTTTACAGGATTAAAATAACTGAGTTGGCCTTGAACAACAGACATTAAGCCCACTATATTAGAAGTAATCCATAAGCAGCCTTGTCATTAGCGTGCTAATATTTAAGCCATGCTAAAAGGACCAGCATCAGTACTGGAAGCCAATAGTTCAAGACCTTAGAGTTGCACAACTCATTCATAAATACAGGCAGATGGATGCTCATTCAATACTTAACGCATTAATTCAGCAAGAGCTTTCTAAAGTTAAAAAGGAATTATGGTCATACTGATGGCCGTGGTGGTGTTTATAATGCAGTACCAGTAATAGCAGTAGTTGGATCAACAGTATTAATAGTACTTGGTGAACAGAAGTAAAACTTTCAGTCTGCTGCGATGACCTTAAGACTTCACTACACAGGGCTAACACTGAATACAGAAGACCACACTGAAAGAGAGAACTTTTCTCACGTCCGGCTTGCACAACACCAAACTCTAGAGCCTCTTTAGCCTAGATGTGCACCCTGAGCAGTTTGGCCACCAAATTAGACGTACAGTATAATTTGCAGAAACACTCCTACACTGCCTTTCTCCAAGCTTCCTATTCACCTCACTCAACCCAGGCTTCACCAAGAGATATGCGAGAGCTTGTTATATAGGCAGGTTGGGTGTATCTGCATGACTCAGGACATCGTCACCCTCATTTCTTGTGCATGTGTCATGATGCAGTCTGATATGAGTGTATTCTTAGAGACCCAACCATTATGCAGCAACACGTTGAGCTCGGTCATTGTTTGTTCTTACTCCACCTGCCCTGAATTATTCATGCATTTGGGTAAAGAGACATCTATTATTCATTCTGCCTCTCTGGTGTCACTACAGTGCTGTGAAACCTGAAGGGAGCGCTGCTTCAGCTGGCTTACAGTATGTAACACCTTGCAACAGTATCCATTGTAGAGGGATTTGCATACATTCAGTAGGAATTTAGCAAATCATTGCTTCTCTAAAAAGAAAAAAAAGTGGTGTTGAATGAGAAAATGAGTTTAAATCCAAACAGGTTTTCACCCATATTCAAATTATTTTATGATGCTTGTTGTCTGGCACTGAAGCTCAGAGTTGCTCTGCTGAGGAGAAATGTTTGCAACAGGAGCCTCACTTCACTGTGAAGCCTGAGAGCAAAATCTATTTAATAAAACGGAATTTCTTGCTTACCTTTTAAAAAAACACTTTGCCCTAGTGTTGTGACTATCACATGACAAAGAAGAGTGCTGTGAACAGAAATAAAGCAGATGCACAGACGGGCACAGTAGAGGTGGGTTTTCACAGTACATGTTGTCCCAGGCTACCACCACCAACTGGGATCAGCACAGGCTGACAAAGACTGAATACTGCCCCACAAACCTGGTACCTACAGCACAATCTGCACTCAGCTACTCCAGTGTGTTGCTGAAATTTACACTTGCTGAGAACCTGTAATGCCTGAACGGGTCTACTGTGCACAGGCCCATGGTCCCAAGGAGCCCAGGGCAGTGTGAAGAGACTTAATGAAGCTGTTCGTGACACAACTAAACACTAATCTATTCTGTGCTGTAGCTACTACTATAATTGTTT